GACAGGAGCCGGGTCTGCATCCCACTGTACCTCCACCCAGCACAGCTGACCATCCCCTCCCCCCGCTTCCCCTCCTGAGACCCCATGGATGGGATCGCGGGGAGCTCCTCTTTTGGGTCAGTGGGTGAGGGGCTTGGGATAAGCATGAGAAGACCTCAATACTCAACCAAGACCTGTGGTTTTCCTGGCACATAGCCTAGCCTCTTCGGGGATGATTTTCAGTCTTGCCAGAGACTTCCACACGCACCCGCCCCCCCAGCCATAGACACCCCAGCTTGCAATTGCACCCCAAGTCTTGGGCAGGTGCTGGGCTAGATGGAACCTGGGCACCTGTGCTAGGGAGTGAGACCACCTGGAGCCACGAGAGTGCTGAAGGCCACCATTCATTCTACTTCGTGCCCCTTGCTACATGCAGCCTCATTTAACCCCCTGCCTGCCCTGTGAGGCACACTATTATCATCTCCATTTTACAGAAGGGGAAACTGAGGCTCGGAGAGTGCCTGAGCAGGTGGAGAGGAGGCTGGCTTCCTCCCATCTCTGCCGCTGACTGGCTGGATGCATGAGGAGTGGGCAGGCTGGGGTCCTGGCCTCTGCTTGGGATCTGGAGAACGTAAAGGGCACGCGGGCTGGTTGTCTTTCAGCGAAGGTATCCTGGGCACCGACCCTGGGCACCGACCCTGGGCACCGACCCTGGGCACCGACAGGAAGGAAACAGCAGGCCTTTCAGGAGCTACAAGCCCAGGAGCTCAGACAGGTCCCCAACTGATAAGTGGCGGCAATACCTGTGAGTGAGCATGTGCAGAGGCCAGCAGGGGTGACAGGGGGCTCTGGTGATCAGCCAAGGCTTACAGGAGGCGGGGGTGGGGAATGGGACTGTCACCAAACAGTGAGGAACAGTGTGCCCCGCAGAGGGGAGTGTGGGAGATCTTTGAGCAAAGGCCGGGAATGAGGGTCTGCGGCTGGGTAGGGAAGCAGCAGCAGAATGAGGGCTCCTCTCTGAGGCACACCCGTGGCCTTCAGGACATAAAGTGCAGGAAGACACTGCGTGTCCAGGGAAGGAGGGGCCTCGAGGAGCAAATGCACTATGATTGTTGGAACCCATCTCAGTGGAAAAAATGAGGTTTTGCATTTACTATCATCAGAAAACTGCCTGCCTCCTCCGTATGTGTCCCTGTGGGGATGTGGATGTGTGAGTGTACGTTTGAAGCCTTGTGTTGAAGTCCTTTTACAGCCATGATCTCTTTTCACTTGCCCAACTACGCTGAGAGGTTGGCTGGACAGAAATATTCTCAAGGACAGATGAGAAAACAGAACCCCAGTGGGATGAAATGTCTTGCCCAGGGTCATGGGGCTCAATGGTTGAAAAGCCAAGACCCACCTTGGGTTCCCAGTCTCAGCTCTATGCTCCTGGCCCCCGAACCCTCTGCCCAGACCCCAACCTACTTCCCAGGATTCTGTATGCCACAGGCAGGCTTGGGACCCCCTGGAGCAGTGACCTTTGCCACTGCATTGGTAGGTATCATAGTTTGCAAAGTAGGGATGAAGGTCCCCCTAAGGTATGCTCTGGTTCTCCCCTGGACTCTGGACGGTGTGTGAGCCCTGCATTTTCACAGGAAAACTGCCACCCGGTCTGGGCGTGGGAGGGCAGGGCTGAAACCACAAAGACGAAGATCCCAGTGGCTGCAGAGGCCAGAGCCCAAGGCCAGGTCAAGGGTCCACCTTCTTTTCCCAAACTGCTTTGAACCACCACCACTGTGTTCAGGAGAAGCCACCACAGAAGGGTCCCTGGAGGAGGGAAGCCCTCCCTAGGGCAGCCTTGGGATGAGCGTCTTGGAGGGGAGCCTGCCAGTTTGACCTGTCTTTCCAGGCTCTCCAGTGGAACGGCCTGAAGCCCTGAGGGCCTGGGGAGCTGCCTGGCCCAATAACAGTGGGCACTGCTCCGAGAGGTGTGCACATCCACGTTCAATGACGCCTCACGAGCACGGGAGGAAGGTCGCCTTGGAGGCACAGAGAGGCTCAGTAACTTGCCCAAGGTCACTCAGTTTGTAAGGAGCAGAGCTGGGTGTTGAACCCAGAAAACTTGCCTCTCAGAGCTAGTCTGGCTCTTACGAATAAGATTAACCAAAGCTACCATTTGACTACGATCTATCTCCTTAGTTCCTCGCAGCCAGGCAGGGACTTGGGCATTGACATTCACATTTCGTAGATGAGCAGATCCCGGCTTGGCGGGCTGCTGGGGGCGAGGTAGCTGCAGATTCTCACAGATGCTAGGTCTGGTTAAATCCGAAGCTTGCACCCCGTTCGGCTTAGGAGGGCCTGTTTGACTTGCTGTGTGACTACGGGAAAGCACACTCCTTTTCAGAGCCTCAGTTTCCCTACCACCTAAGCCTTCTGCTCCCGGCCTTCTTGCTCCGGTAAGTGGCAGGCAGAGGTCGCGCTGCTGTGGGAGTGTGGGTCTCAGGACACTCCAGAGCCCCTCTCCCTCCGCCCCCCAACCACCCTCCTCGCCCCCACCCACTCCAGGAGAAGCTGCTGTTCCGTTTTTTCCTCCACGGGTTAGAGTTAGGGTGGAGGGGTGGACGGTGAGGTGCTCGGTGCGCAAGTTCCGTGCTGCATCCCGAGAAGTCGAAGGGCAGGGTGGGGAAGGCCCAGCTCTGATTTGGGGAAGGGCCGAAGGGCCCCGAAACCACGTGCTCGGGCAGTTCTACTGAGCGCTGACTATCCGCTGGAACAGAGCAGCGCTCCCAAGTGGAGGAGGCAGTGGGCAGGGGGAGCCCGAGGAGGCCGATTCTGGGCAGAAGGGGTGGGGGTGCGGGGAGGCAGAGAGGACGCGGACAAAGGAGGCGGCCGGCAGCCCAGCTGTTTTGA